AGTGAGTACAACCCTAAGTGGAAATGTCCAAATTGGGCCCAAAGTGCCAATGAATAACATTTTCTTTTAGATCAGGTGGATGGTCATGTGCGTGTGCGTTGTTTACCTGGGGAAGTGATGGCAGCAGGATGCATTATAAGAAGAGGGCAGGCTGGCAGAGACAGTGATATTACTAGATCTTCTGTGTGTCTCTTTAACCCTCAGCCCCACTGTGTGTCTCTTTAATCCCCAGCCCCACAGTGTATCTCTTTGTCCCTCCTCATCCCCATGTGTGTCTTGTTGTCACACAAAGAGCCCCACTGTGTGTCTTTTTGCCCCCACACTGACACATACACACACAGGTGCAGACACTGACACATACACAAAGATGCACACATATACACACAGAGACACATATACACACACAGATCACAATTTGCATAGTCTCAACATACAATGCTTTCCTACCTTTTGAATGCAAGGCTTTCCTCGGATCCAGCGACTGAGACTAGCTCTCTCCCGTGCAGCTTATTGGTAGGATGGAAAGAAGTGACTTGTACTTACTACCTCCCAGCACTGTGGGTTAACATCTAACTGGGGGCTCAGCTGGTGGATCTTGGTGTGGTCACATGTTGCTTTAATGGTAGCAACTTTAGGATGGAATTGAGAGCTAGAGACAAGCTACTCAGTTTGAAGCACCTCTGTCATCTTCAGCAGTATTTGCATATTTCGTACAGTCCCCCAGAGGTGACATTCCACAAGGTTTGCAGTGGCCTGGGGTCCATCCATATTGTTTCTTCAGCTTCTGGCTCTTGATCCGCCAGGAGCCATGTCACTGCTGTATTTTCTTAGTTAGTGTACAACACTGAGGTCTATAAAGGATGCAATGAGACCCTCTACAACATGCTCAGCTGATCATTTCAGCCAAAAGCTGCTTCTGCATAACAGGGCTTAGCTCACTGGAGCTAACTGAGGTTTCTACCAGGAGCTTCAGCTCCAGAAGAGGTTGCAAATTGTGCCCAGCAGACCCCAGGTAAGTGGTCAAACCTTAGCAAATTACTTACCCTGGGAGAACATCAAGGCACTCCTGGAACCATAAGCACTACAGTGGGCGGTAATGGTTATGGCGCTGGACTGTTTCTTTAAATGTGACAGAAGGGTTTGGGGATACATTGTAGCCTTCGTTGTGAGAACATGTCTGACGTGATTATTGAAGAAAGAAGGTTTTGAAGAGAATAAAACTTCCACGATTTGGCTGTCACTAAAAAAAAAAAATACTATTTGTTCCTGTTGGGCTATGATAATGTTTTGATGCAAAAATATTTTTATAGAAGCTACACCTGCATTTCCAGGAACTGGTGATTTGTAATAATAGCATTCTGACAAGCACTGCTATAGATCATAGATGCACGCAAACATATGACAGCTGCAGATAGTTTACTTTTTTTTGTTATAATTGTTTTTCAAAGTTGATCTTTCTCCATCCTATATCATAACAACAACTCAAATGGAGATAATACGCTTTTTTTTTTAGATTATAAATAAGAATATATATATATATATATATATATATATATATATATAGTGTAGATTGGATTAGCCGCATTAGCCCAGTAGAAATGTTGCCAAAATACCAGAAAAACTGACCTTAAGCTGCATTTCAGAATGAATCTACACATACACTCAATCAAGAACCACAAGGAAAACGCATATTGTAACCCTGTTGGTCATCACTTCACCCAGGCTGGTCCCTCCATCCAAAACCTCAGGATTAAAGTTCTTAAAGGGGATTTCAAAGACTCTCATGAACGAAAGACATTTGAGATGAAAATAATCACACATTTCAACACCAGAAATGAAGGACTTAATGCTTTCTCACATACTACCAAAACGTTATATAAACACGCATCTTAATGTCTTATATAGTTCTTTTTCAATATTCTCGCTTCACCTTTATTGGATCAATTTCTAGACATACATATATACAGCTATTTACTTGCATGCCCCGCTCTGCTTTTTTCTTGGGTTTTTTTCTCTCTCTTTTTTTGTGTGTTTTTTCTTCTTTTTAACTAGCTTATTGACTCTCCTCTGTTTATTTACTTTTTATGGCTATTCTCAGCCAACCTGCACCTTTCATTTTCAGGCACATCTTCTGCTATCTATGACACCCCACTCACCCCCCACCCCCTTCTCTAACATCAGTTGTTTTAAGTGTTAAACTCTATCAGATTTATCAGTATTGCTTCAGACCTGAAGAAGAGAGGAAAGCTCTCATAAAAAGCTTGTCTTTGAAATATTATGTAAGGTCAAAATAAAAGGTATCATTGCATACTGTAATACTCTGGTATGTTGGCATTTTATATATATTACATTAAGTCGTTAATTTCTGTTGTTGAAATGTGTGATCATTTTCATCTCAAATATATAATTTATCAATTCCAATCAATCTAATTTGTCAGCCAAGCCTGGAAACAAAAGCAGTAATCAATCACAAGAGACTTTATATGAACTTCTATATGTGGTTGATACTTGTTAAAGTGATACTGTGCACACCATAACCAGTACACTACAGTGATAGAATAATGGCCAAAGTTGGTATGATAATGGTGAATTATGAACTTTCACATTAAGATATCAGTTCACATCAGAAAGGACAGAGCAAGATAAGTGTCAAAACATTTGGAAATGGTTTGACAGTTTTCTGTGGACCAGCGCAGGGGATTCCTGGTACCATAAACACCATAGTTTTAGATTTTACAAGGCTACTTAAAATCACCCATCTTAGGAAACAAATATAGGATTCAGTTACACCAAATTGGGCCAATATCAGTGGGTCCTTCACTAATTTTAACATGCGAGGTGAATATGCTGACTGCAATATCTACCGCTTAAAGGACCACTATAGTGCCAGGAAAATAAATCAGTTTTTCTGGCACTATAGTGCCCTGAAGATGCCCCCAGCCTCATGGCCCCCCTCCCGCCGGGCTGAAGTTGGAGGAGGGGGCATTCTCAATGCTTTCCTATGTACGCTGGCGTCTTCTCACTGTGAAAAAGCTAACCAACCCAGGAAGTAACAGGACTAGTTGTCTGCTTGTAAGCCAAGGGGGTGTAACCAGGTTAATTTATAAAAGTATAAATTTCTATTGAAATTTGCACTTTTTGCAAAATGAAGAAGAGGACATAGTTTTCACACATGAAGCTTTTCAGCAAGATAACATGCTTTAGGGGTCTAGAGTGTCTCTTTAATCTGTATTTTGTATGTATGTTGGTCTTTACAGCAGCACCACTACTTAGAAATGCATATTCATATTCTGAAGATGCCCCCAGCCTCATGGCCCCCCTCCCGCCGGGCTGAAGTTGGAGGAAGGGGTTAAAATCTTACCTTTCTCCAGCGCCGGGCTCCCGAGACGCTGGGCACTCTCCTCCTCCTTTGGACGTCATCAGCTGAATGCACATGCGCGGCAAGGGCCGCATGCGAATTCAGACAGTCCATAGTAAAGCATTCTCAATGCTTTCCTATGTACGCTGGTGTCTTCTCACTGTGAAAATCACAGTGAGAAATGCAGAAGCGCCTCTAGCGGCTGTCAGTGAGACAGCCACTAGTGGCTGGATTAACCCATTTCTAAACATAGCAGTTTCTCTGAAACTGCTATGTTTACAGCAGGCAGGGTTAACCCTAGAGGGACCTGGCACCCAGACCAATTCATTGAGCTGAAGTGGTCTGGGTGCCTATACTGGTCCTTTAACTGCTTCCAAAGACTCTCCTCAATTTATGCTTTCCTGTGGTCACATCCAATGGGTATCTATAGTGGATGAGTGTGTGCTGTTCCTTAAAGGGACACTCTGCTGCTTAAATACAAAATAATTAACAATCAGTGTTAGGTAGATATACCCCAAATGAAAATGTGCACGTATTTATTTATGCATTTTTTCATTGGGGGAATATCTAAAAACAACTTGCAAGACCTGCAGTTCTCTTGTTTGAACCCTTTGTATACCCTCCACTTCTAACTCCACCTAGACTTTTTGAGGCTGTACAATCACAGACTTTCTAATGTAGCTTAATAAGACGTCTTTTCAAGGCAGGTACTCTGAGCAATTGAGCAACTTCTTGAGTTTAGCTCCACTAAGCTAACCAACCCAGGAAGTAACAGGACTAGTTGTCTGCTTGTAAGCCAAGGGGGTGTAACCAGGTTAATTTATAAAAATATCAATTTCTATTGAAATTTGCACTTTTTGCAAAATGAAGAAGAGGACTTCACACATGAAGCTTTTCAGCAAGCTAACGTGCTTTAGGGGTCTAGAGTGTCTCTTTAATCTGTATTTTGTATATATGTTGGTCTTTACAGCAGCACCACTACTTAGAAATGCATATTCAAGGTGTGCCTCCATTTACTCTTAATCTTATTGAAGTTTTGGTGCCTGGAATTCCCTTTTGCCATTCTATGGCTCAGTATTAACCATCCTAGCCTAAGCAGTAACGGAAAACAGTGATTGGCTGAGAGCATCAGCTCAGCACTCTCAGCTTGTCACTGCAACCCATTGGTGGTATGGCTAGCGCAGAGCTGCACTCTGCCACTGTGGTATGACAATCGGGGCCAGCCTGTGGGCACCCAGGGGCCACTCATTCAGTGTTAAACCAACTTTATAACCCTTAACTGTTCGAGGGCAGTCTAGGTATCACAACCACTACTGTGAGATGAAATAGTTATGGTGCCTACAGTGTTCGTTTAAAGTATCTGTGCTTTTCATGTACTTTCCCTGCCATCGGTGTGTCCTGAACAGAAGTTGAGGTGCAGACAGACATAATAAGCTGAGCGTTCAGAAGCGTGCACATTTTAGACGGGAAGACAGATACAGGATCTGTTCATGTTCATATGTATCAGTACATGCTCACACTGCCAGCAGAGTCTGAATGATCAGAGCACATCTAGTTTGTAGCATATTAGAAAATCCAGACTCATTCATGGCAGCATCTTCTATGGGTTCAGGAATCCCTCTGACACTGTACATGCATCGTGCTCTGATTTAGGAAGCGTGCTCTGTGGTTAACATCTTGAGTGGCAGCAGAGGGTGAAATGAGCCACTGTATAAAAGAGAAATAAACCGCTCCTCCAGATACAAATTACAGACCAAACGACCCTCACTCAGCTGTGACATCTGGTTACAAAAACAGAAACCGCAAAGGGGAAAATACACTTTCTGTTTCACTATTTATCGCCCTATAACCAGCCCCAGATGGGTGAGTATGCAGCCTCATCGCCCTGTAATCGGAACAGGCTGTCTCTGCACTCTGCACTTTATCTTGCCTGTAACATACAGAGTAATGTATGCCTGAGTCAGTGCCACTTTGTTACAGCCACGGAGATCACGGAGACACGAACATCACGTAAACATTTTTTTATTGCCATGTCTGTGTATAATGCCTGCACAGAAGTAACTGAATAGTAGAATAAATAGTTTTAGGCTAATTATTCTTATTATGTTTTACATTTTTTATTTCCAGGTTTTTTTTTTTTTTTTTACAGGAATAGAAATATTAAAACATTAATAGGGTTATTTACTAAAGTGAGAATTCAAAGTGAATTTAAAATGTAAGATTATACTAACTGGAGTGAAAAAATTATCCAAGTCATTTATGCTTTGAATTCTACTACTACTACTCTGGCGTTCTATTGAAATTCACTTTGAATTCTCACTTTAGTGAATAACCCTGTTAGATAGATTGATTCATGCAGTGTGATGATAAACATGCAGGAGTTTATTTTATTTACCAAACCATGAATTATAATGAATTAAAAGCCAAATTGTAAAATCTAGATAAATTAACCCCTTAGTGACCAGACCGTTTTAAAATTTTCTTACCGTTTGGGACCAGGGCTGTTTTTACATTGCTGAGGTGTTTGTGTTTAGCTGTAATTTTCCGCTTACTCATTTACTGTACCAACAAATGTTATATACTGTTTTTCTCGCCATTAAATGGTTTTTCTAAATTACCATTATTTTCATCATATCATATAGTTTACTATAAAAAGAAATGATAAAATATGATGAAAACTTTTTCTAACTTTGACCCCCAAAATCTTACACATCTACAACCACTAAAAAACACCCATGCTAAATAGTTTCTAAATTTTGTCCTTAGTTTAGAAATACCCAATGTTATCATGTTCTTAGGCTTTTTGTTGCAAGTTATAGGGCAATAAGTACAAGTAGCACTATGCTATTTCCAAACCATTAAAAAAAAAATTAAAAAAATGAACGAACGAAAGTTACATTGTAACACTGATATCTGTCAGGAATCCTTGAATAACCCTTCACATGTATACATTTTTTAAAAGAAGACAACCTAAGGTATTAAACTTGCGGTATTTTGACTCTTTTCATGTAACCATTTTAGCACCAATCTATGCCAAATTTAAAAAATATAAAATTGGTGATTTTTTGACACACATAGCAATTTAAGAATACATGTACTGTATATTTTTTGAAAGGTAGACACTAGGGTATTTCAAATGGTGTTATTTTTACACTTTCCATGCACTAATTCTACCACCAGTCTTTATTAAACTTTTGGCTAGTCATTTTTTGTGTTATTTTTCACAAACATTGTACTTTAGGCATGGATTATCAGCTCCTGTTATGTGTTACTGCCAAAAAACACCCCAATATGTGTTCAGCAACATCTACTGAATACAGTGATACCAACCATGTACAGGTGTGTCGAGTTCTCTGGGGGGCTAAAAGACCTTATTTGGAGGGTGTGCATTCCAGTTTTCCAGCATGGAATTTTCACATCTGCTCATCATGCACCCATGTTCTATTTGGGACATTTTTGAAGCCGGCCTATGTAATTTACCCCCATCAAACCATATATTTTTAAAAAGTAGACACCCTAGGGTATTTCAAATGTTAATATTTGAACACATTCTATGCACTAATTCTACCACCAGTCTTTGTAAATCTTTTAAGTTATCTCACATTGGACTTTAGGCATGGATTCTCAGTTCCTGTAATGGGCTACTGACAAAGAACATCCCAATATGTGTTCAGCAACATCTCCTGAGTACAGTGATACCACCTATGCATAGGTTTGTTGGGTTATTTGGGGGTGCAATGCCAAAATTCTGACGTGTTTTTCAAATTTGACATATCTTCTTTGCCTATCTTCTTTTTGGGGGCCTTTTTACACATCCCAATTTATTTTCTTGCCATGAACGTGCATATATTTAAAAGTTGACACCACAAGGTATTGTATATGGAGTGTTTTGATGCCTTTGATGCAACCGTTTTAGCTCCCCCCCCCAAAAAAAAAATTGGAGAAAATAGTTAGACCTCTATTACATTAGTTTTTACTCCCTGCCCACCGAATCATAATTGTATCAAACTTACTTACGATGCAAATCATCTGATTCTAGGACATTCACATCTTATTTCTTGCATTTATACCTTTAACAAAATCCTTACAGTTAAAAGTACTTGAAATAAACTAGTTCACATTCACACTAGTAGTATTATGCATGCATTTTGTATATTCCTGTTGAAGAACAAAGATGGTGGAGCCCGCACAATCCTCTATATCATGTCATCATTCTGTGTACTTTGTTAATTGTTTTTGATCAGAGAAGATTTTTATACTCTTAAGGGAAACTGTCATATTAATTTCTATTTGCATAATATAGTTCTTCTAGCTATCCGTTATGTTTGTTTCCTTTTTTTCTAATGTGTCCCTTTATCAAGTTTCTGTTTGGTAAATGTAAGGACTATTTAACCTCATAGACCCATCTTCCTGGTAGCACTAGCAGAATGCTAATTGGCATGCCTTGCAATGTTTAGCTGATTGACTGCTGAGGTTAGCCAACTTTCATGTAGTGAGTTGAGGGGAAAAATGAAGAAGGTTTAAGCTAATTAACATTCTGAGTGTGCCTTAGATTGTCTTTAGGATAAGGAGTTGTTTGGTTGAATTGTTCCTAAATTTACAGAACTACATGTGTATATTTGAAAATGGCCCATATAACAAAAATGCCACTAGATGTATAAAGAATAATTTTATTTTGTAGAAGAGTGATCTGCTAACATTTTAAAACTTTAACATACTGTAATGCAATTTGTAAAATCTGTTCTGACACCAAGTGTGTTGAAACTTTAACAGTTCTGTATCTTTAAGCATTGGTTCAGACATGTGCACCTTGTTTAATGAAGGTACATATCATTCCACAGCTTACACATAATACATACTAAGAAATTCTGATACCATATGAAGGTAAAAGTAATAAAAACACTATATTATCAGAGCAAGAGAGCTTTGTGCTTCAGTAAGCGTTTGGCGCACAGTTTTACGAATATACCTTGGTGTATGTACGCAGGGTTTGATGGGGAAGAAGATTAGATTCAGGACCTTGAACATGTCAATTTAAAGCAATTTTGTGCTTTAACAATCCGAAATCAGAGAACCAGCGTTTGGCGTACCCTCCTCCACGTCAGAGTGTTGTTCTTCTCTTTTCTCCAGGGATCCTGCAATTTGCCTCAGGGCACAAAGTGAATGATCCGGTAACACAGAAATCTCAGAGTCCTCTTTAGGGGTCCCAGGAGGTGGCAGATCTGAGAGTGCTGAGCACAAAAAATGCCTGCAGCAAAGTCAACGCTAGAACAGGAGTCTGACAGGACTGTGAGGTGGGATTAGTGCCGAAATCGGAATGCAAGTAAAGCGAGGGCACCCTTGTATTCTCAACACTTTTTTCTGCTTCTAAATTCTCCGTCTGTGGGAATGAATCATTCACAAAGACAGGAAACCTACCTAGTACTGTACACAAATTAAGATGTGATCAGCTGCAAATACAGCCTGCTTAGAATACAAAACTGCAGACACTGGCAGTACGCAGCTTAAAAGCTCTTCAAAGGGTGTTCCGTGAGAAGAATTACTACAATCCTTAATTTATAAAAAGTCTATGCCCATGAAGGTTGTCTGGGTTAAACTACTGATGATTTAAATGCTTATAGTGGGAATTACAGCTAGTAGGAGTCTCATGCGGCCTATTTACCCCTTTTCGAAGCAGCAGTTTATGCGCCGTCTATGTGCATGGACCTGTTCCTCTGCTCCTCCCCAGGCCTTACTAAAGTAGCACAAGAGCCTCCTATTTCATGCTTTGACCTTACATTAACTTGGCAGTTCAGACTTCCTAGTCATGACTGTGGGGAGTATGTACAGGACCTTAATGACCCAGACTTATTGTAGATTTTGCTGTTTGAAGCATGCAGCGTTATTATGGATATTTCAGATTGCAAAACTCACCTACATGTTTAAAGTACAACACACAGATAATTTCATCTCTTAAATTCTTCTCCCATTTGTTTTTTAGCCTTGATTTAGCAGATGATCTTGAACCTCCTATTTCATCTCCAGCCCCCTCCCTATATGTTTTTTTTTTTTTAAACAACTTTTTCTTTAAGTTTCAAGGTCATCGGTGACAAACAATGCCACCAGCCTCTGTTTGAAATGCGAACGCCATTGGCGTCCATTGCCACCGTCTCCGTGGCAACACAGTAACCATTAATTTTCAATTAAAGTAGACAAAAAGCTCGATGACAGCTCTGGGTCTACTGAAGATGTCAAGAATCTGTATTAATATACAGCAAGAGAGTATAATTGTGTGTCCATCTTCACAAGCAACAAAGATGGGGGATAATTAGCAGCTAGAAAGCCACTCTGTAATTTCGTGCTTATTGTCACCACAGCCCGGCACATTAGCATAAATTAAAAGAGAGTTTATTCCTATTAAAGTGCCCTGATATTTCCAGCCTCCTTCATGTTAACTGTTTGTTATTTACAAATGTTGCAATGCTGAGGAAAAAATATGAAATCTAACTATATAAAATAAAAATGAAATGCTTTAATTCTGACTACCCGCACCTCCCGTCCTAACAATCAACACATTCAGGAGAATGATTCAACAATTCTCTTTTCCAGTTGTCCCTGAAAATTAGACATTTTATTTTCTTTTTGAAAAGTACATGTTATCCCTGAAGGGAATATTTTGTCTTGTCTGTTTTTTTTTGTTTATGGCTTTTGCCCACTCCACCAAGATATCACCTGCGGCTCAATTCTAATAGTGTACCTGAGGGTAGTGCGTAGTTCTAAATATATTTGCTTGAGGTCCTCATCACTAAAATTATTCAAAACCAAAGTAATATACTTTTGTGAGTCATGCCTCTTTATTCACCACCCATTTAGCAAGGGACAGGCTAGTAAATTAAATATTACATATAGAAGATTAAATAAATTAAATAATTTTTATATAAATATTTAATTAAATTAAATATTAAAATATAACCTCTAAGTCTGCTCTTCACTATGTACTCATAACCAGCTGAAAATGAGGCAGATTGATTGTTGAAGTCAGGAATTTCAGATTGCATGCTCTGCTGGCAAGAACTCCTGTAGGAAAGCATTGGGAGGTTATCACACATGCACGGCAAAATCCTGTGCTGGCCAATGAGCATCTCCTCATAGAGATGCATTGAATTAATTCATCTCTACGAGGAGTGTTCAGTTGTGCAGCACCAACCCAGGAAGCACCTCTGATGGTCATCTAGGGACAGCCACTGGAGGTGTCCCTAGGCTTTCATGTAAACACTGCCTTTTCTCAGAAGGTTAGGGGAAGTATTGTAAGAGGAAGAAGAAAGATCTGCAGGCACACACTATATACACTAAAACAACTACATAAAGCTGAGGTTGTGGGGTCTGGTTGCAATTCTGAATGTCCGAATCTGGAGTAAGCTTGGTGCAAACATTCCACAAAGTTGTCGATTTAACCGATTTTCACTTGAAGAAACTTATGATTCCTGAGTTGTGAACACTCAGCTATGTAAGCTATATCCCTCAGCTATGTTTTGCAGAATTTGTCAGTCTGATCAGTAGTCTAATCCAAAAGCATCTTTGTGGCATACATGTGATTATGGACAGTAAGAGGCAGCTGCTCCCCCCGTTGATATTTCGGCTGATGTGTGCAGTGGCGGTTGGGTCCCCGTTTCCTGCCCTTGCCAGTGAGGGTTATCCCAACACATACCCACTGGCCGTACTTACATCAATACGTGTGGTGTTCACACCCAGGAGACGCTGCGATAGCGCGAGGCCTGTCTCACAAACTCAATCAAGATTGCTGAAGCCACGTTTCCGCCTACTACTCGGCCCGGTTTGATGTGATCCTCTGCTCACCCACGCATGCTACAGGTGTCCAGATTTCCTGGTGCCTACCTGTTTCCTGTGGTGATCGGCACTAGCTTCTGCTCGGCCGGGCCTTGAGTGTACATACTCCGATGTTCTTGAGGGGACATAACCCGATGCACACCACATATCCCCGGAGGGAACTTCAACGGCGACAAGCTACACCTCATTCCTCCTGGAGCCTGTGGTGGTGGTATGGACCATGCTGGATCTCTGTAACTCTGTTTGGTGGTGGGGGCCGGAGACCAAGCATCGGTATTGGATAGGCCACGTGTTACTGGATTTTTATGTGGGGTGTATGCTACCTAGAGTTTATTAGCCACCTCTCCGTGTTTACCTTGATGTTTGCTCCAGTCTTCTGGGGTGCCTAGCCTGCCCTAACATGGTATATGTTGAGGGACCACCACGGCTATTCAAAATAGCTTTACTCTGTTTATTTTATTTTGTTTTCTCTTTTGGTTTCCTTGCAATGTGGTTTAACCCCTCATAATATTGTAGCGTAAAACCACCAACAGTGCCACATATATTCACATTTTACGATGACATTAGGCCTGACAATCATTTGAGCGCTACAGCACTTCTCCACTAGTATGCTACATGAATTTCGATGCTGGTGTCCAAACCTTAATAGGCCGCCCGGTATAATATCTTATGTTCATGCTTTTCGTTATAGCTTATTTCACTTACCACTTATGCTACCCTAACTCCTGACATTATATGTTTGAGCATGTTTATCGTATCACAAAATGGCGCTGACTTATAGAATGCCATAGTGTTGCTTGTTCTTGTAAGCCCATTCCTGCTATTGTGGAAATATAAGCACATCTGTAACTCTAAGCACTGAAAAAAATGATTTACAAAAAAAAAATTCTACATTAAGCTGCAGTTGTTTTGGTGACTACAGAGTCCCTTTAATGACCATACAATGAGAAGTTCTCCTGCCTTTTCAGCTGCTTGACTGCTTGTTTATATTCCAAACCTTGCAAGACACTGTTTAGTTAACGGACAAATCATGCATGATTTCCTAAACACCTTTCTGAACCCATTAGCGGGATTCAGGTTAATAATGTTCAGGAGTCATGTGGTTGGTCCATTGACACCCTGTGGTCTACATTAACACTTGCACAAGCATTCTGATTCTGTTATAAGCAGAAGGGGGACATAGGCTCATTCTTCTCATCATCCCATGAGCAGTTAAGTGAAATTTAAAACAGAAAGATTGAACGCAACAAATACCTTCACTCTCTGTGTTGCTATTATGGCATAATATTGAATAGGACAACATTATGACCATTTACAGGCCAATTCCCCATGCCACATAAATATGTCCAGCATCCCACAACAATGACAACGTTGCCAGCCTCATTTTTGTATTTTCCTTTTATTTGATTTTCCTTTTTTCCTGATAGTACATTTGATGTTGATTAAGTAAAGCTCATCCACTACTATCGACAGTATATTTTGGTTTTATTCCAGCTTGCTTTAGGAGGTAACAGAATGTCTTGCAAGAAACATCAGCACTTTAATAACCCTCTTTGGTAGCACCTCTCAGCTGTCAAGCAGTCATTAAGGCAGTTCCCAATCTCATTCGCCATGAGCACTTACTCAAGACAGAAGTGGGGCTACTCGTTGAGAAGGATTTGATTCAGTCCTTCTATATGACACTCACTGCCAGCACATGGTGTTGATTCCCAGGGCAGGGTGACAATTACCGCACATGCACCCCTGGCTCCCAAAGCTTCTCTATGAGAAGAACTGGATTATCTCGGAGGATATCACAGTGATGCACACCTGGAGGCAGATCGGGGCTGGGCGAAATTACCTCTTAGCCTTTAAATTGCATAGTCTAAAAACATGTGGGGAAGGGTGGTGAGGTGCAGTTTGACAATGCCACCAAAATGGTCCAATAACCTTTTTTGGTTGTTGAGAGCTGCTTACTCTTACTTTATTTAAAACATACAAAACAGAGGGTATCAAATAAGCTTTCACTGCTGCCATAAATTAATGACTCATTGCTTGAGGTCAAAAAGACAGTTTTCCTCCTTCAACAGAAAACAATTAAAAAAAAGTCTTGTGGTTATCACGTCATAGGCTTCTTGCAGCTTGTTTCCCCGGTGTTCTGTGACTCTACCCTGAAATCTCTCA